GCAGCTGTTAAGGCATCTTTTGGATCCGGCAGCAACAAAATCGGCGCAACGGGGACAAATGACTTCGGTTAATGCATCAATATGAAGGCACAATTGGAGAGTTTATACAGGAACTCCGGAATCGGTACATAACTGATGGAGTAGACGGTTGCTTACCACTCTACTCGGGGGTGGAAAACTCTGACCTAGATGAAGAGTTCACAATTGCGGAGGTGGAGTTTGCCATGGGGCAGCTGCGTACTACGTCTGCCGCAGGTTTGGATGGAGTTACTAACAAAATGCTGAGAAACCTATATTTCAATTCGGTCGGGGCGATCCACTGACTTGATAAATGAGTATTGGGTGGCCGGGGAGATCCCAGCACAATGGAAGCATATCAGGATTATATTTATTCCGAAGCCAGGCAAGAAACTCTGCTTGGAAAACCTGCGCCCCATATCGCTGACATCATGCGTGGGCAAAATTGATGGAGCACGTGGCCCTCAACAGGCTTCAGAATTATGCAGAGGACAAGGCCATCTTTCCCCCAACTATGATAGGTTTCAGGGCCAAATTGTCCACACAGGACGTCGATACAGTTAAAACATGATGTAGTCGATCCCGGACATGGCACGGGCACCAAAGCTGTATTGGGGCTTGACCTGAATAAAGCTTTCGACAATGTTTCGCATGAGCCAATATTGAATAACCTATCAGAAATTGGCCCAGGGGTCAGGACATTTCGCTACATCAGATCATCCTTGGAGGGCCGAACCACAGAAATTTCAATAGGAGATATCGAATCAGACTCATTCGCGTTGGGAGGCAAAGGGACGCCGCAGGGTTCAGTTTTGTCACCATTCCTGTTTAACATCGCCTTAATTAAAATACCGCCGAGGCTGGAGGAGATACCGGGACTCAAACACACATTTTATGCAGATGATATTACTCTATGGGTAATCAGGGGTAGTGACGCGCATCTGGAAGAAACCCTGCAACAGGCAGTTAATATTGTCGAAGAGTTGGCAGGGGAGGCGGGACTTTCATGCTCTCAGCCCAAGTCCGAGCTCTTTGTGGTTCGGGACAAACCCAGAGGGCTACATGGAAGACACTATATTCCGCCACCGCCGTTAGAGGTAAAGGTAGGGGGTAGGCCAGGTAGCTGAAGCTCAAACGATTAAAATTCTTGGCATATATCTGCAAACTAACAGGAAGAATAGGGTGGCCCTTGAAAAACTTAAGACCATGGTCAATGCTTACTGTCAGGCTAATCAGAAGAATCGCTAACCGTAAGAGCGGAGTTAAAGAAAAAGAACTCTGTAAGCTGGTACAGGCGTTTGTGCTCAGCAGGATTACTTACGCGACACCTTATATGAAGTTGGATGCCGCAGAAAAATGTAAGGTCGAGGCTATATGATCCGGCAAGCTTACAGCAGCGCTTGGGTTGCCTAACAACGCGCCTACAGAAAGGCTGTTAAAACGAGGGGTACACAACACCCTGGATGAATTATGGGAGGCGCATCTGGTGATGCAGCACGCTAGGCTTTCGACAACCAAAGCGGGCAGGATCATATTGGAAAGGATTGGCATTGGAGCAGAGGCTCCCACTGGGAACACTAAAATTCAGGTGCGGCGAGAGTTACATAAGACCCTGTACATAAAACCTTTGCCCAAAAATATGCATCCGATTCACCATACGCAGCCAGGCAGGCAAGAGCCAGAGCTTTACACGTTGAGTACGGCGAGTACAAAGCGGCAGTCTATACAGATGTTGCGGAATATAGAGACAAAGACGCTTTTGTGATTGTGGTGGTGGACAGGCGGGGGTGCTTGGTCGCCTCTGGATCGGTCAAAACCCGCTCCCCAGAAACTGCAGAGGAAGCGGCAATAGCGCTAGCTATAAATAATTCGCAGTCAGATTTGATTTTCAGTGATTCAAAGACAGCCATCCGAAATCTGGCGAGGGGCAGAATATCGGCGACCGCCGCACGATTTTTGCATGGGGCCACGGGACGAGAAATTAGGGAAATAGAAATTGTCTGGGTACCAGCACACTCTGGGAACCCTGGGAACGAGGCGGCTCACCTGAATGCTCGAGGTTTCGTCAGCCGGGTAGGTGAGCCGCCAGTTCCGGGGAGGTCCGCGAAAGATGGGCTGGTGTCTTTTCATGACATAACGAATCATTATAAACTAGAGCGGAGGTTTTATCCGCCCCCGCACAAGCGGTTGACTAAGGCGCAGGAATGCGTCTCGAGAAAACTGCAGACGCGATCTTTTCCCAACCCTTACGTGTTGAACAAAATGTACCCGGAGGAGATTAAGCCACAATGCAAATGGTGTCAGGCTGTGGCAACATATGATCACATACTTTGGGAATGTAGCATAGTGCCGCCGCCGGTGGATATTATGCGTGATCCCTCTCTTGAGCACTGGGAGGCCGTGTTGACCAGCTCAGACCCAGTCGTCCAGTTAAGGGTCGTGGAGTGGGCCACACAGGTCGCCGCCAACCTTGGGTTGATGGCCATCTAACACGGAATCATCCTCAGTTGCTTTCTGACGAAATAAAGTTTTTCCATCCATCCATTAGGGGCAAAACTCCTTATAGCGGCACCTGTTCGTCCCTCGTAGCCGTTGTAGTGTGTAACAAGTATAACATTTTGACCTCCACGGTGGTGCGAGTCAGAGATTTCTCCTGTGCGTTGTTGAACAATAAAAATAGCGCTCAATGTACATGCCAATGGCTGTTAATGGGAAATGGGAAACAGGAGCATTCGGCTTTTAGTTAACGCGCACGCTGCGATCCCCATTAGCAGCCATTGACTTGTACATTGAGCACTATCTGACAAGAAAGGGCTGGTGCGTTATGCTCGCTGGGTGTAACCTTCTTAGTTTTAAGCAAAGCGTTGGCTTTCGAAAGGTTTAGCGAGCGTTGAGCCGCAGTGCCATGAATACAATGAACTAATATATACCATGAATGAACTCGAGGTGGTTAAAGGTGGGAAGTGGATACGAAGCGCAAGCCATAAGAAAGTAAAAGCTGAATTCTCCTGTCTCTCATTTACCATTAGCAGCCATTGGCACGTACATTGAGCACTATCTGACAAGAAAGGGTTGCTACGTTATAATCGCTGGGTGTAACCTCCTTAGTTTTAGAAAGGTTTAGCGAGCGTTGGGCCGCAGTGCCATGAATACAGTGAACTAGTATATACCATGATGAACTCTAGGTGGTTAAAGGTGGGCTGTAGACCTGAATTGCAAGCCGTAAGAAAGTGTGCGTGTGCCACCTCTCGTTTAGTCCTTGGAATGTCCGCTGGATGGCGGCGCTTCTATATGGGGAATATATGATGAAAAGATGCGAGATGGTGATACTTGGAGTGTTAAATTGATGGACGAACGGACACACAGACAGATGCATGGATGGACGCATGAACAGACGCAGGGGCGGATGCATGGACGAACGTAGGGACGGACGCACGAACAGACGCACGCACGGATGGGCGCATGGACGCATGAATGAACGGAAGCAAGGACGAATGGACGGACGAATTCTTCGCCCCATATTTCCATTATTCACTTCGTGGATATGCTGCCATTTTTTGTTTTCTTGTTTGACGATGCAAACGTGCCTTGCTTTTTTCAGAAATGGATTAGACGCATCCCGTAGAGATGCCTGTGGCAAAAGCAATTATAGCGGAAAGAAGGAGCACAGCGTCGTATAGAAAACGCGGAAACGACGCACTCGAGACCTGACAAGCGTTTAGAGATCACGATGGTAAATTACATAAAGCGTTTCATTGCATGCAAGCGTACTTGAAAGGTGTGCCTACCATCTTACTCCGTTGGTTTGACTTGCACAGGTCTGCTCGACAATGAACAATTTCTTCGAACGCTAACCTCATATTGGAAACGCGCGTTGCAACACGACATGGTTCGGCGAACGGTTAAGTTGCAAAGCGGCACGTCCGTGCACGTGCACAAAGGTGCACTCCTTCAAGTGCGTCGAACACCGTTCTTGTAAGTGTGGTAGTTTGGGCTAGATGGTATGACATGATGATAGTTATAGCGCGAGAACAGAACGACGACAAAGAGTCGTCGTTCTGTTCTCGCGTTAGAACCATCGTCACCGTTCTTGTGTTTTCGCCGATTTCTTGGAGCATGACGAGTTCCACTGACCTAACGCCGCTGGACGTCGACGGAAAGTTCTGCATTTTCTTGACCCGAAAACTACGACTAACCACTTAGACGCAGCTATAGTGCTCTAAAATATTATCAGCAACCTCTTCGTGGTGTTTCCTAATGGAGGCGTTAGCAGACGATTATGAGAGTGCACCTTCCGAAAGATGGCAGGCGTGCTCAGTGTTGCCCGAGCACGAAACGTTATGAATGTCCTTCGTTCTTTCCCAATACCCCGTAGTGGGCATAAGCCACATATTGAACAGAAAACGGCCACACGGCATGACCAGATAGGTGATACTTTGTTGCGGTGTGTAACAAAACCGACATGCCACGTTTTTTCTGATGCTTGGAAGTCAATATGGACAGACCTGCGTGCTGATGTCAGAAAAGAAGGAAGACGAAGCCACTTTCGTACGAGCCACGTGCAAGACGTGTCCGTTGAAAGCTATGGAGCAATGGCCACTCTGTGAATGTCCGTGGCGCTGTGAATAGACCGGCAGCTGGCAAAGTCGTTCCCGCGACTGAAGACGGGGAGACGCTGCTCTGACGGGTGCCTGCTGCAATACGCCAGGCGAGAACACCAGAAGATTCGTGCGGCGCTGATGATCTCCTGCCACTGGAAGACGCTGTTCGTGCTCAGCGAAAGATGACGGTAGGCTGATTGAACGTCGAAATTCATAATTGCTCGATGACAAGAGCACGTAGGGAAAAGAGGAAGTGAACGAGTTTAGCTAAGCTTAGAAATGAAAATTCAAGCCTCTGCTTATCGAGAAACGGGATAGAAGAGAGCGCCTACTTGTAGTCCGTCAACCAGATGATCAGAGCTCACAGCAAAAGGAGCCAGCATGTCCTCTCCGCTAACGCAGCTGCGCAAGGGCCACTGGTTGCCACCGCGAGACCCGCGGACTGTGGATTGGAAACTTGCCGGCAACGTGCCGTTCATCACGACAGTAATACTGTTTTACATCTACGTAGTGAAGTTCGTCGGGCCCCGCTTTATGAAGGGGAGAGAGCCTTTCAAATGTTTGCGGCCTCTCATCATGGTCCACAACGCGGCCATGATCGTAGTCAACGTGTACTTCTTGTTCGCAATCGGGTCCCGTACTCACTTCGGTGGCGGTGCCAGCTTCTTCTGTCAGGGGCTCGACCTAAGCGGCTCCACGACCAGCATCGAGGTAGCGGATCTGCTTTGGTGGTACCTAATGGTTCCGCATCATCGACTTTTTGGACACTGTGTTCTTCGTACTCCGCAAGAAGGACTCTCACGTTTCTGTGCTGCACGTCGGGCACCACGTCATGGTCGTCTTCACCGGCTGGTTCGGCCTGACCTACGGCCCTGATGGCCAGGCCGTGCTCATGGTTCACGTTAACACGTTTGTGCACGTCGTGATGTACACCTACTACTTTCTGACGCTGCTGGGCCCCCGCTTCATGCGCTACCTCTGGTGGAAGCGCTACTTGACTCAGCTGCAGATTGCCCAGTTCATTTTCATGCTGGTGCATGCGCCCATACCCCTGTTTGTCGACTGTGGCTATCCGCCGGCACAGGTGCTTGTCATCATGAGTCAAGTGGCCTTCTATTTTGTCATGTTTGTGCGCTTTTACATGCAGGCCTACAGGAAACGTGCGAAGGCTGTCTGAGTGACTTCTCAAGTTCTCTCGCGCACGCTGTGACCGCTACCTCCGCTACAGCTGCCTCTGTTCTTCTTTCATTCCTTGAATTTATTTGTTTGTGCCGGTACCTTCCAGCATCGCTGTGTGCATGTTGTGTGTCTTTGTGAGCGCGGACAAGGGCTTGTGCGACGTTGCAAGAAACTCGACTGAAAGTACCGTGATTCAAACCTCACATGAATATGTACTGATTGACAGGACATGCTTGACGTGCAAACTGTTAGCAGTTCCGAATCTAAGTAATGGAGGTTGACGTGAGACACCCATGCTTCAAGATCAAAGACTTCTAATCGGACTGTTTCATTGCTCGTTGAGCGTTGCGACTACCTGCAGTGAAATCAGTGGTGCAGCCAGTTTTTAATGATATGGGCTCACGAAAGACTATTCACACTTGCTTGGTTTGCCAAGGCCATAGAACGAGTGTATGTAAGCAGCCTGAAATTGGGGCTTCATGAGGTGCAACAAGGTTACGTTAGCAGTGTAATTCACTAAGCTGTCTACAGACGTGGGCCCCTTAGCGTAACAGTGTCAACAGCTGTCTAAAACACAAAACTGCGCAAACGACTAACATCATTAACGGCACAAGCTGCTGGAGCATGGAAACATTGCGTGACGTGGTTGTTTACTCTCAGGGTGACTAGCAGTTTTTTTGTCGTCTTGCCATTTTGCTTTTTACAGTGTAAGGCCTTGATTTCGGACCCTGTGTCTCGATCAGTTCGATCACCTCGAAGGCTGCATTTGTGGTGCTGTGGTGGGATTGAACTGTTCATTTTTGCATAGAAAATGTTAGAACAATAAATCGGCTTCTACTTTGTTCGTTACACATGCCTCACTTGTGAATCGATTTGTTTATCATAGCTTTTAATCTCGTTGCTAAGGGCCTGGCTGTCGTACGCTGTCATCGTACGTTGTCGTTGTCGTCGTTTCGTTTCGCTTGGTGTCACGCAGGCAAAACGATAGCAGAGGCACGGTCGCTGCATAGGCATGTATAGCAAGCGTGCGGGAAAGGGAAGTTGTGGGAGGGAGATGCACACATTGTTGTATTGGATGTCGTGTGAAAAAAAAATCGCAATTCGTGAACTTGAGTGGTCTCAGTGATTAATGACAGCGTTCGGGCAGGAAAAGACCAACTACTTACCTATGGTTCTGTAGCTGATATGAAACGTCCAGGTAGAATACCATTTAGTGATGCGTAAGTGCAAAGTTATATTGCGCGTTGCTGCTTTTCCAAGAGCACTGTATTGGGACAGGAGGAGGAGCATCGGCGTGGCGTCCATAACAGCCCCGCAGAGGCGCTTTCCCGTTGCCATCGAAACGCAAGTTAGACATTGAATTTTCGCAGTCCAATTCGTTTTCATGGGTGCAAGCCTCGACTTCGGCTTTACATTTCGTCCTACAGAGGGCTTTATATCTACTAACACAAAGTTCAACGAAAGCCTTACAGAAAGTGTTGGTTGTTCTTTTACAGTTATTGTGCACCGTTGGCCCAACAACATACAGTGGCTGTGGTAGAACACATTAGTATGGCTGAAAGGCTGGATGTGTTCATGTACAAGTCGTTCTTGGACATGGGCGCTGGCTGACATAGGATGGCTAGCTCATCAAGAGCTCTGAAAGCGGCCAAGGATGGCCACGGTTTCCCGTTCAAATCGCTGCCGACGAATTACCCAGTTTAATTTGGCCACCGTTGTCGTCTGAAGAAAGACGAATGCACAGTAGTCCTGCACTGTGAAATCGCAAGACCGTAAGCAGGAAGACGACTTCTGAACGCTGCTAAAAAAATAGGCATCGTTCAACAAGTAAGCGGCGTATATGCGTATCATATGTCGCGTATCCGGCTTTCGCAACAGACAAATGAGGCAAAGAAGACTCTTCTGGATGCTGGCGGGCTCTCCGTGAAGGACCGGCCTTGCCTTTTAGTCGACACACTGAGGTAAGACGTGCGCTTCAAGCTGTACTGGGTAGCCATTGACGTTAACGAGGACTGAGTACGGTGCGCCTCCTGGAAGTACGGTGAAGTCAGAGATATCATCGGTGACAAATGGAAGAATGAGGACTTGGGAGGGGTCGCTACCTTTTCGGCTCTAACTGAGGCAGAACGGTACTCCTGACTGTAAATCAACCAGATGCATCTCGACAGTGGTACGACATTGGTTTTTGGGCCTGCGTTGCCTAAACACTATAGACAGAGTCGTCGCAATCGCAGGACGCCCAGGTGCAATGGGCACCGCGTGTTCGCACGTCAGGGTAGAAAGCCGAGGGACAAATGTCGATCAGAGCCAAATGCCCATGAATAGCGAGGAAGCGGTGAAGGCAGCTAGACATCCGAGGTATTCATCACCAGAGAAAAAAAATTGCCCGCAGCTTCCCTCGGGGGAACACTGAGGAGGATGCGGAGCATATAATTGGTTAACGGGGTGTTAAAGTGCGACTTACTTGGGTCGATGGCTAAATTGGTTAACGTGGTTGTGAAATGGGGTGTTAAATTGCGACTTACTTGGGTCGATGGCTAAATTGGTTAACGTGGTTGTAGGAGGGGGTGTTAAATGAGTGAACACGTACACACGTATGCGAAAGGGCGGCGCTGGTCGAAGGGACGTCGATCATTGTGTTTGTGGATTCGTTGGAATTCATTTCACCGCGACCTTGGACGTCGACGCGCCGTACAAACCAACCGACGAGCGGCAACTGAGCGAGCGAGCGCCGACCTTGAGTATATATACAGCGCGACGGCGCATGCACTGTCAGCTGTCGAATGTTCGAGAAGGGGGAGAAGCGCAACGGCGCATGCGCGCGCGTCAGCTGCCGATGTTCTCGAAGCGTGACGGCGCATGCGCGCTACATTATACAGCTAGGGAATGTTCGGGAAGAGGAGAAGCGCACGCGGTGTGTAGAGGAGGAAGGGTGCACAGATGGTGGAGAAGTGAAGCGCGCGCGGTATGTAGAGGAGGAAGGGATCCACAGATGGTGGAAGAAGGAGGAGGAAGCTTGCGGATGGCGCCGCACTACAAGCCTCGAGTATTAGATGCTCCGCATCTAAAAGTTGAAAAAAAAAAGACGATAGTTCGGAAATGGAAAGCAGGCACAGCATGCGGACATGCCGGAAAAGAGCGCCTGCTCGAAGGAGACGCAGCGTCACAGCAGCGCCGGACACGGCAGCAGAAAGGGCAGTGTCCAGTTGCTGCCGCCCCCCTCGCCAAAAAAAAAAAAAAGGGGCTGCCGAACGCTTGCGTTCGTTGCCACATTCGGGACAGGCCCCGAAAACTGATCGCTAGTTTCCGTTTCAAGGAACATGCGTGCTCGTAGCGGTTGCCGGGCACCCTAACATCCGCGGTTGAACGGAGTGAGAATGATGTGAATGCTCGCATTTATCGATTTTCACAAGTTTTTACAAATAAAAAAACTCGATAGCCCTGTAGAAAGCTCTTTTGTTAATATGTTTTTGTCTTATTCCTTATTTTGTGAATTTTAAATCAGGCGAAGCGCGGGAAGTGATTGACTTGCGTTCGTAGCGCTTGCCTCCGCTCCTTCTCGCCCCTCGCTAAGCGATATTAGAAGTTGGATCGCGCTCAGTTATCTCGCTCGGTTGGCGTGGCAACTACGGGAAAGATAAAGACAGCAAGTTGTGGCGGGCAGAGAAAGGAAGCCGCAGTGAGCCACGCTGGAAAAGTCAACCGTGCATTCGTCCAAGATGGCTTACTTGGGCAACACGTGTTTTCCACGACTATGCGGTGTGCTGACCCGGGAATTTCTTGTTCCGCGAAGGTTCTTCAGCGTTTCCTAAAGGGCAACGGGTGAGCACAAGAATTTGGAACCCATTATTTGAGCAGGTATGGATTTTGCATGAGCACATATGATTAAACCCAGTCCTCTGCAAGCCTGACTGGACTGACAGAAGTGCAGTGTCACTTGATTAATTGGTGAAGACGGCAGCCAAGCTTCTGTCGGGAAAATGCAATTATTGAAAAGCTTGAATTTAAGTTTGCTCGGCTACGTACTTTCACTTTCTTTTACTTTTGGCGTGTAGTTCAAGTTATGTCAAGTAATTATAGGTTGCTTCCTGCTCATGTAAATATTGTAGAAGCGGTTTGAAAATTTTTGAGTCTTTACTTTTAAGAGTGTCACTTAAGTACACGTGATGGACTAGATACTTCTAAAAATTATTAGAGAATGTTGATTGGAGAAGTGAACGGTGTGACAAGTGAACTTTTTTTCGTCAAGGCAACGCTCTTGCCCTGACGAAGACTAGTCATCTTGCCAAAACAGTTTCCAGCGACGTTCTTTCTCGAAAAACTTGTGGTTGATTCGAGCATCTCCGTACCTCTGAACTACAGTCTCGTTCGGTACTCAAGTTCTATAAGAAAACTATGCTCGCCGCCATAACAAACGTGATTAAGTCAAATAGGACGTGTCCTACTCACGATTGTTTATTAGTTTTCGCGTTGGTTCGGATATTCTGGGTTCAACGTTTGCTCATTATATCCGTATGTCAGTTGTAAGTTAAAGATGGTTCTATAAATTGACACCTTCACACTACGTGTATGTCTACCTTTTAATACAAAACATGGAGTGAAAAAGTACGTTTTATTTTTGCTGATCGAGTTTCGTCCTACTGAGAAATAAGTCAGCTTAGCATTCGCCTTTTCAGAAAACGCGAACAAAATTGAAAAAAAAAAGGATTAGCAAAATGGCCGCATTGCACAAGCTGCCAGCGGACCTGAAAGTAAAGTCCCTGGATATTTTTAGGAAAGTGCCGCCATTTTTTTAACCGAGCCGCCACGCCACGCTACCTCCTCTCCAGCCTCTCATTTCTCGGGCCACCACGAGCATCGTGCGTATCAGCATCACATGGCATTTTTGATAGGAAAGTGGCGCTAGCCGGGTTATAGGGCCTACGCCCACATGGTGGCCGTTCGGGAGAGGATATCAACAAGGTTTGGACTTTGGGACATAAGGGTCGGACACTTTCG